GTGACTCAGCCAGACCTGATGTAAGATTGCCCCCTGCCTGGCTACCTGCCTGCTTGGTGGAATACTATTGGCCCTTAACTCCCTACCTTACCCTAGCCTAAGATTCCCATCCCCTACCTCAGCCCTATATAAGTTCCTGCCTGTTGAAATAGATTGAGATCCTGCTTCGACAGACTCCTGACTCAGTGTGTTTTTTCTCCCCGGTAACTAATGGGGGGAGGGTCTGAGTCTTTGACACTCACCATCCTGCTCAGGGGAAGAGACCGGCTGGACCGTTGGGGGGGGGGCTGCTCTACCCGTAGGGAGGACCCTGCACTCTTCAGTGTCCCAGTTAACATCTGTTCTTTCCTTACAGCACACTTTCAGTTATACAAGGGAAACCCGCAGCGGACTCTCCCCAAGGGAACTTAGCTGAGTGTTTTCCACAGGGGAGACTGCATCTCATGAATCACTCAAAACTTCCCAGGCAAAGGAAACAGATTTTTTTCCCGCCGCATGGGAAAAACACAGAAGGTAGACAGAATCAGCAGAAAGCACCATTGGCCAGGAGTCCACCTGACTTCACGTCAGTCACTCAGGTTTCACCAGGTCACTGGCTTCCGGAAAACCTGCACACACCCTACCCACCCTGGAACTGAGACATCCCTGTGCCTTGTATGTATTTTCTTCCCTCTGTTACCCAGTGGCACTGGTGTGCCAGCCCTTGGAAGAGACAGACTTGATCTGTGGTGTTTGCCCGTTTCTGTGATGTAGATGTCTCCACCACCCTGTATTCCAGTGAGGCAGGGAAGAAACACCGAATTGTGTTTCACTGAGTCATATTTCCATAGCAATACAAATAACAGCAAGGATACAGATAACAGTGAAACAATTGTGAGGTTTGGGGGGTTTCTACATTTGCTTGCTTTATTTTGATACAGGGCCTCGCTGTGTCTTTCTACATGGTCCTGCACTTGCTATGTAGACCAGGCTAGCCATGAACTCACTGAGCCATCAGCCTCCCCCCTGAGTACTGGGATTAAGTTTTTGAGTTTGAATATGTATTAGCTTGATTTTTTGAGGCAGGATCTTCAGTGTAGTCTGACCTTGAAGGTAGCCCAGGATAACCTGGAGCTTCTGAGCCTCTTGCTTCCACTTCCTGGGAGCTGGGATCACAGATGTGGGCTGTCTGGTTTTATGCAGTGCTGGGGATTGAACTCGGGACTTCATGTATGCTACGTAGGCACTTTACCAACAGAATCACAAATAGCCTCTGTTTGCAACACTTTTTAATCATAGACTTACACAATTTGATCATAACTGGTGACTGTGCTTAATAACATCTCCCAGACTCTGGAATGAAAAGCAATCCATTCTTGTGGGCCAGGACTAGCCAGCTTTGGCACATCACAGCTCTGGGGACCTCCAGGTAAGACTAAACACACTAGGCACCTGCCTAATCTTGCCTACACACACACACACACACACACACACTCATCAGTTCTCCAGTCACCCAGGCTCCCTCATTCTCCCTTTATGAGATAGCAGCCCTCCTTCTATATAGGAGATTCTGGGAGTGCCACTGAGGACCAGCCGAAGACAGCAGCATTTTAGCTTGCTCTATGGGTTGGTCCCATGCCAAGTCCAGATGGTGCTATTGTACTGAACCACCAGCTTTCTCTGCATAGCCCCCTCCCCCCTCCTACACTCCCCTCACCCTGTGTTTGACAGGTTTAATGCAACTCCCTGGCACCTCCTCTGTCCATGTGATGCAAAGCCAGCAAATCTAAGAAGAGCCAAGAAAACCAGGTGCTAAATCATGCAAGGCCAGGCTTCCCGGCAGCTTCCAGCCTCCCCGTGTCCCAGGCAGCCTTCCCACCAGGATCTTTCTAAGCCATGTACATTCCCCATGGCTTGCACTGTTGTACCACACAATCTCAAGGATGGATGGAGCCTTCCAGACATTAAGCCGGAACCACAGTCTGCTCCAGAAGCCGTCCGCCCTGCCCCCAACCCCTGCATCTCTTTCTCTCAGCTGTAAGCTGCACACTGCCAGCTTTTATCCCTTGGCGCTCAGCCCTGATCTGGGAAAGGCACTGCCTCCGATTGCTCACAGTGGGGAAGCCAGAGCGAGGTACCCAAAGAAAGCCAGGCCCGCGGCAAAGTGCTTCACATTCAAGATTGTGTTTATTGGTCACATTTACAGCTGACATTTAGTAAGATGTGGTGGCTGTGCCTAGCGTCCCACAAGGTTATCTGGCACCGTTCACTTTAGTCCCTGTCGTCTTCCACAGGTGTACCCAAGAGCTAGAAGTGCACATGGCTTCTGTGGTGTTAACCTAATCAGTGCAGGGAGAGTGAAGTGTGTCACCTTCAGAGGAGTCACGCAGGTTCCCCTGAGAGAAGGGACTATGTTGCAGATAATCTCTTTGAAAGTCACCACAGTTTAAGGTGAAATGTTGACAGGAATCAAGGTAAGACAAAGAATGGCTGAATTCAGAAGCACGAACGGATTTGACTTGTTCCAGGGAGTGGAGACAAATGCCACATCGAAGAAAGGTAATGGAGATTCCCCTGTGGTCTGTGAGAATAATGTTCTGTGTGGTTATCCTTGCATTGCTGCAGTCTCTGATACACACACACACACACACACACACACACACACACAGAGAGAGAGAGAGAGAGAGAGAGAGAGAGAGAGAGAGAGAGAGGCACATACACTCCATTTAATGTTGCTGTGTGTAGAAATGGAATGAAACTTTATGCTTTAATGGATACGGTGTGGGGACAACACTATTGCTTAAAATGAGGTAGCAGGAGCTTGGGACCAGCAGGTGTTTCCAGAACACAAGTCCTACATCCACATAGTGCTGTGGCCTGGACAGCTGGCTCGTTGGCATCGAAGTACTTGACCAGTTGTTCAGAATGGAAAGGGTAGAGGGTGGCATTGCAGACAGTGCTAGCTGTGTGGAGGAACAGAGTCACCTTCGGCAGCATGCTAGGTCCAGCCTTGCTGGTGACTGGCGAAGTCCCTGGTTTCTGGATCTCTTTTGCAAGATGGAGAATATACTCATCTCCAGCCTGGCTCTCTGGGATGACCCTTCTAATGTTACAATGGAGTCTCAGAGTTTGTGAGGTTACCAAATAGGGTTGGAAAGCTAGTTTTGTGTGGCAGTCCTATGTGATGGTGGCATAGGAACTGCATCTTTAGGAGGAAATAGGAAAGCTCGAAGGAACTTAGTTCAGACTGAGCTGTGTGAACCTTAGGAGAGTGTTGTAGAACAATCTTTTTGTACACTGTGAATATGTATTGCTCTCATTGGTTTTTATAAAGGGCTAAATGGTCAGTAGCTAGGCAGGAAAAGGGTAGGCAGGCCTTGTGGACAGAAAGAGAATGAGGTGATGAGGAAGGGTGGAGACTTGAGGAGACTCAGAAGATGAACATGCCATGGTAAAAAAAGTTACTGCTACATGGTAGAGCATAGATAAGAAATAGGGTTGCTGGGCATTGGTGGTTTACGCCTTTAATCCCAGCACTCGGGAGGCAGAGGCAGGTGGATCTCTGTGAGTTCGAGGCCAGCCTGGTCTACAGAGTGAGTCCAGGATATCCTGCACAGCAATACAGAGAAACTCTGTCTCAAAAAACCAGAAAAAAAAGAAATATGGGTTAATTTAAGTTGTAAGAGCTTGTTAGTAACAAGCCTAAGCTATCAGCTGAGCATTTATAATTAATAGGTCTCTGTGTGATTATTTGGGAGCTGGCTTATAGGACAGGAGAGGAGGTGCCAGGTTTCATAGATTTGGAACAGTGACTGGCCTTGTTGGAGGAAACTGTTAGGATAGTTTGTCTTCAAGGATGGTCCTTCAGGGAAAAACTTTCTGTGGTGTTTTTGAATGAGATATCCCTTCATCACTCTCAGGCATTAGAACATGTGGTCCCCTGTTGGTGGCTGTTTGGGGATGCTTGGGCAGTGTGGCCTTGTGGGGGAAGTGTGTCACCGGGAATGTGTCTTGAGGGTTCATTTTGAGTACAATCTCTCTGCCTTGTGTTAAAAATGTGATTTCTCAATTTGTTCCTGCCACCATGCAGGTGCTTGCTGCCACACTGCCCTGCTGTGATGGTCCCCCTGGAGTCACAAACCCCAAATAAACGCTGCTTTCTGTAAATTGCTTTGGTCATGATGTTTTGTCACAGCAACATAAAAGTAACTAAGGCATTTCTTAAAGCAAGTATCTACATGAACTTTGAGTCCCTAAGACAACAGCAACATCAGGGTTTTGTTTTTTCAACAATGCTTTTATATATTTTTTATGTGTACGGGTATTTTTCCCACACCATGAGCATGCCTAGTGCCTGCAGAGGCCAGAAGGGGGTGTTGGATCCCCTGGAATTAGAGTTATAATTGTGAATACCACATGTGAATGCTGCTAATTGAACCCGGGTCCTCTGGAAGAGCAGCCAGTACTCTTAATTGCCAAGCTATCTCTCCAGCCGCACCACCAGTATTTCTATCAGGATCTAAGAACATGGACTTTGAGAGCAGTGACAAATAGCTGTTATAGTGTCCTTAAAACAACTGCCCAGACCACCACTAAGCAGAGGCCATACCTGTGAGTACAGGGACATTGTCCAGCTGTGCCTGGTGATGAAACCACTCCCCACTTCAAGCTTTGTACACTGTATTTTGGGACTTGGTCGGTCCTAGAACCCACTTTGTCCCTCAAATTAGCTGCTTCCATCTTTCCTATATTTGCAAGGTGTCCTTACCATGACTTAGGCCATTTTCTCTCCTTTTCTCTGTAGAGATTCTGATTTCACCTCTCTGCCACAAAGCTATCCCATGCCTTTCCCCCATGCCCTCCTCACCCTGGCCTGTTTGACACGAGAGTGCACAGATGAGAGGGCTGAGTCAGCAACAGCCCATGATTCACTTACACTGTTTCTCACAACCTAAAGGCCTAACGTCTCCAACCCACCTTCGTCTGTCCATATACAAGCAATCAGACAAGACACCTAGAGATATTTCTCCCAAGTGCAGAATCATATATATTCTGAGTGACCAAGCTATTGACATTCAAGTTTTGACCAGTTTCAAGATGTTCATACCAGACAGTGAGAAGACCACATACATACACACCTGAATCTGTATTACAGAGGAAGACTTGGTGTTGGTATACATGAGTCAAGGGTTTCAGGTTATACAGGATACATCTGGAAGGTTCTTTGCTACCCCCAGAGCCTTACTCCTTTCAGGTTGTGAAGTATCACTGGCTAGAAGGAAGGCCTCTCAGAAGCTGTATTCTTTTCTTCTGGGCCCCTACTACTTCTGAGCTTGCTAATGCCAAGAATTCATAGCCTCTTCCTTTTTTAACTCTCTCAAAGAGGAGTGATGAGAAACATAAAACTACATGTAGGAGGGGTCTGTCACCACCTCCCACAAATGCACAGCTGTGCTTACTAACTCACTTCAACCTCAACATGCACCAAGAGGTAAATGAAGTAGGCCATTTTCCCTGTCTACAGAAAGGAAAAATGGAGACCCAGAACTCAGGTGGTCAGCTATGTTGGTAGACTCTGCATTCCCATTGACTTTCCAGCAAGTGTAGGCAGCTATGGCAAGTATGGCTGGGTCATGGAGCTGAGACTCAAGTAATTGCCCACTGCCAGCTGTGGGATGGAAATCCCAGAGTGGAGCTAGGATCCAGCTGAGAGTCAGCTCTCTGCCTCTAGGCAGGGTTAGCTTTGGACAATAACACCAATGACTGACATCTCTGCCAGCTGAGAAACGGGCCTCTTTTGGCAAAGGAAATATGGGAACACTCTGAGCTGCTCTACCTGGGCCTCAGTGGACTTAGATCAATGAGAAGAGGCTCACACTAAACAGTGGACATGCGTGAGTATAGCTTCCAAGAGGCCAACACTTGGCTGGCATCTGACCATTTCCAGCAGGAAGAGAACTAACTAGCCTTCTTCTAAAGCCATCCTGAGTGGTAAGGAGGAGATATTGGTCTTAGTCTACAAGAGCAAAGTGTTATCCTTCTTCAACTATACAGATACATTACTCTGGTTTTAGTTCAGTGGCATGGACCCAGGATGAAACTGCACAGATACTACAGTTGTGAGGTGTGACATCCCTGTGACGTGGCACCAACATTTCTCAGTAGTACAACTGTTGGTTGGTGAATCTGGTTTTAACTACGATGTTTTAAAGGCCAGTTTCTATTTAAATGTGTTGTGAAAAAATGTTAGTTTTTTTACTCTATACACACTTTACACTAATAGCAGAGTAAGTACAGGAATTGTGTACATGCACTTACTCTTGGGTGGTGCTGCCTTCAAAGTAGATGCCTTAAGGAAAGTGTATGTTTATTGCAGTATAGTAGACCCAACTCATATTTCTAGAACCGTCTTTGGAAACTGTCAACTTACATGCTTCCTTGGAGTGGGCAAATCTTTGTCCTTATGGCTAGGTCTATAATTCTTAATAGTCAAAGAACATTTCTTTCTGGCAAATACACTGGGTGGTAGAATTAGCACTGCCTTGGCAAGTAGCAGGAGTTGGGGGAGAATAAAAGAAACTAAACAAGACCTGTTGATAAAGAAGTTATGAGGCCTCTTTCCTTTGATGGCTTCTGAGGTAATCCCAAAGAGGAATCCTCAATGTTCTTGACACCTGCACTAAAATAGTTCAAGAGGATGGCCTCCCAGGTAACTGCAGTGAGGTAACTCCAGGATGCATTTGTTCAGGCGTATTTGGTCATTGCTTGTTTTCTGTTAGACTTCCTATAAACAGAACCACAAAACTCCATCTCTACAATTTCTCCCAAGGGAAAGATCTCATCTACTGCTTGAAGAGTTCAGATGGAAAGCACTTGGTACCATGTCTACAACAGCCCTGCTCACCCCTCCACAAATACCCGAGCCTCCACAATTTGGAAAAACGGACAAGGGTAGTTTCCTGGGGCCTGGGTAGGAGCAGAACATCCAGAAGAAGGGGAAAAGAACAGTCATCGTCCAGTAACTTTCTGTGGTAAAATCCCACTGGTTTCCGGATGACAAGCGGGCAGAGTTCATCGAAAAGAAAAGTCCAGGGTGTTGGGTTCTAGTGCACAGGAAACAAAGTATGTGACCGTAGCTCATCCAGATGCATTTCCAGTTGAGGCCAAAGGCAGCAAAGGTGCGTGAAGCTGCTCGAGCTGGCATTAGGTGAAGCAGGGGTATGAATTCTGAGTGACAAAGATTGTTGTAGAAATGCCCTGTTACAAAGCAGGACCCATGCCAGGTGGTGAGGCCAAGGAACGGTCCACCTCACTTTCTACAACAGCTTCAGTGAGATGGCCAGTGAGGGAGCTCCTGAGTGGTGAGGAGTGTGAGAAGATGGCAACTGGGAGGGCGGGCGGGGCTTGGGGCATTCTCTAACAGCATTCTATGAGCATCCCGCCTGCCTGCACATGCCTCCATTTTCTGGCTGCATTTGAGAATTGTTTCCAGGAGCCAAGCTGTTTGCTGCTGCTAACAGCCAGGGTCAGATCCTTAAAGTCTACCGTTCCATCCAAGTGCTCGCAGTAGACAGTGGGCTTAAACTGACCATTTGGGATGCTGTTCTTGGTGTTTTTTTTTTATATGAGTCTTCATAAAAACCACAAAGCTAGGCTATTTGTTCAAACTGTTGTTAGAAAGAATGCTGAGTGCCCGGATGGGATTTTCTAGTTTCTGTGCAAATGAAATCACATTAGTCCAGATCTTATTCACTGGACACTACTCAAGGAAGCAGTAGGATTTGGTTTAAATGCTGCCAAAAAAAAAAAAAAAAGCAGGAATTCACTGGAGTTCTGAAGCAATCCTGTTAGTGTTGTAACCAGGCTCGGGCAACATGGGGAGGTGGGACCCCCACCATCGTTTTTGCTGAGGAATCCCGGACCTCTCCCAGTTCAGGCTCACTCTCACTAGAGGTAGACCCATTGGTGATGGCATAGACACTTTCAACTCCCTGAGCCGAAGCACAACCATTTGGCTCATTCTTTTCCCTGGGACTTGACAGTCCCGGGAGGATGGCCATCTTCCCCGTCTGCCTGTTGGGCAGTAAGGACATGGCATAGTCCGCAATGATTGCCCCCACATCTAAATTGCATGCCCGGTCGAAGGCTAGGAAGCCGACATTGGCGTTTGCCTCACACACCACGAAGGAGCCGTCATCCATAATGAGAAGGTCAATACCACAGAAATCCATGCCCAGGATGTTGGATACCTGGATAGCCAGCTGCCTGCCTTGCTCTGTCAGCGGGCACTTGACACCCACACCACCTATGGAGAAAGCACAGCAATGCGAAGGTGACAAATGCCACTTGCTGGTGACCCTTGGAGAGAGAGGAGACTGATGACAAAGGGCTAGTGAGACAAGTGCTGCTGTTCACAGTGTTACTTAAAATGTCAGCAAGTTGGGGCTGGAGAGGGGCTCAGTGGTTACAGCACTGACTGAGCTTCTAGAGGACTCAACTTTGGTTCCCAGCATCCAATTCAGGTGGCTCGCAACTACCTGTAACTCAGGGGCTCCAATGTCCTCTTTTGATCCCCATGGGCACCCTCACACCTGTGGCATACACCCATACATAAAAAGCTAAAAATACATATTAGAAAACCACAGTGCCTGATATGCGGGTGTATTCAATAAATGGTTGTTAGGGAACTGAAAAATTCTTATCTATCATATAGTAGAAAGGGACAAAATACTTTATGATCATTAATAATGCTGGGCTGAGCATCGGAGTCAGGGCACTTGACCAACCAGCAAGTGCAAGGCTCTGGGTTCACCCCAACACCAAAAAATGAAAGATAATAATAATAATAATAATAATAATAATAATAATAATATACTATCAGCCCGAGGCCTCCACAAACCACGTGTGCCCACAAACACCAGGTTCCACACATGGCTGCATACATGGTTATTGTGTAAATGAAGACAATCACTGAAGGGCTGAGCATAGGGTCAGACTTAACCCAGAATTTGCCTGGTAGCCAGGGTATCTCACAAGCATCTTGCTTGCATAGCTTCTGAGCCATGTGTTAGCCCAGGGCAAGAACTGATTTATGTCGTCCAGACTCCACTGCAGATGCAGTGAGGCTACTTGGGGACTTTTAGCAGAACAGGACCCAATTAGTAAATGAGCCTCTTATTAGTCAATGACCTTGGAGCACACGTCTGCTGAGTCAGGAAATAACTGTAGAGCTTTCCTTTTTCTGTTTTCTCTTTCCAAATAACCAACACAAATTCATTCACCAAGGCTGACTGTAGTTTTCTGTGATGGGAACAAGGGCCCTCTGGCAATGTTTCTGTTTCCCACGATAGAAAACAAACTTTGAGTGGGATAAAGGGATGGGATTCTGCATTCAACCAAAATAAAAACTGCAGCTTCTGGCAGTTTTGTGCATGAAAGAGGAAGGAAACCCTCAATTAAAATGTGAGAGCAAATACAACCGTTTCTCCTCACCACAGCCTTGATACTAGTTCACACTTGAGAACTGCAATCAAGTCACACACCCCCCAAAAAAATGGCAAGAAAAAAACAACTTGATGTTTTAAGTAGTTTGTGCCTTTGCACTGGGCTGCATTTACAGCTTCTGGGGCTCTCGGGTCATAGGGTGGACACATCTGTAAGGCCTTTATAATCTGTCTGAGTAGCTGCAGTTTTCAAAACTGTCTCCTCACCTTCCTTGTGCCGTCAATGCTTTACTCAAATATACTTTTTCCCCAATGCTGGTCCCCATGTCACTCCCTTGTCAACCCCTGATGTTGAGTCCTAACATCTACATACAAGGCGTCATACTTCTGTGTCTGGACACCCAGAACAGTGTCTTCTGGCCCAGCCCTTGACTTCCTGTTCCTCCCCTGGACTGCATATGGCCACAGGAAAGGTTCATCTCTCACTCTCTGAGATCTGCAGTCAGCAGACAGTGTGATAGGAGTAGGCATCAGTACATGTTCACAGAGCAGGCCAAATAGTCCAGAGAAGTCCCCTGTGCCCCCTCGAGCCTTCCCATCTTACCCAGGAAGCAGTTGCTTTGCATGCGGCCATCTGTGGAGCAGCGCAGCATGGAGCCGATCACCTGGCCGCCCACCACCACCACCCGGATGTCCTTCCCATGTGACTCCTTCACATATTTCTGGAACAGATAGGGCACGTCATGGCGGACCAGGTGGCAGATGTCAGAGAGGTGATGCTTGTCTCTAGCCAGAAAAACAGCTTTTCCTTCAAGAAGAAAGACAAGAGCAAGAGAGCTGGAAAAGCGATAGGTTGTCTTTGCCTTCCTACCACCCCAGCCTGCCTCCCTGCCCCAACTTTCCATGTACTGGCCCCTCCTATTTCTCCCAGACTCTTTCTTCTTAACCAAACAGCACTAAATCTTACTTGGTTTGCTTTTTTCAGACAGGGTCTCACTCTGTGTGTGACCACACTGCCCTAACTCCCAGTCCTCTGATCCTAACTTCCCAGAAGGCTGACATTACAGGGGTGTGCTGAGAGAAGAAATGATGGCAGGAGCTGGTCTTAAAAGATGAGCAAAGAGGCCGGGGGTGGTGGTGCTCGCCTTTAATCCCAGCGCTCAGGAGGCAGAGGCAGGCGGATCTCTGTGAGTTCGAGGCCAGCCTGGTCTACAAGAGCAAGTTCCAAGACAGCCTCCAAAGCCACAGAGAAACCCTGTCTCGAAAAAACCCCCCAAAAATAGATGGGCAAAGACTACTCTATTGAAATCAAGAGAGCAGATGACTATGGGCCAGAATACACACAGCCTCTCTGGTGAGTGAGGACAGCGTGGAATGGAGGAGGCTGTCCATACAGGAGTTGGTGCCATGAGGAGGACCATGAACTTGTAAGAGGGAGTGTGTGGGCTGGGAGGATGTTCAGCGAGAGAGAACAGATCTGTTTCTGAGAATCCAAAGAAAGAGCAGATGTGCCAGCGATGGACTTAAGAATCGAAATCTGCTCAGGGGCGTTCAAGGAGAGGTAGGAGTCTGACAAAAGGACAGAGCAACAGAACACACTGTGAGTGTGCACAGCATTCCTATGCCCAGAACTGCAGTTACGTGGACCGGCTTCCCAGCAGCACCACTGACCCCGGTGTCCACGTGTGCTCTTCACCACCACTGGGTAGCCCAAGGGCTCTGCTTCATCAATCATTTTAGAAAAGTCTTCATGCCCACCTGCCAAGAAAAAGCAAGAATCAATAAAGTATTGGCGGCAGAGCAGAGGCTGGCCCAGCACTTGCCCCCTTAGGATGTTCTCATGAAATCTATCCAAATCCACCCAAACCCAGCAGACACGAGCTACACACCCGTGATGGGCAAGGCAGGAACAGAGGAAAGCTACTACCAGCATCAAGCCACTGTAGACATGGAAATGTCACACCAGCTATTATAATCCTCATGACATTCTTACAGTCGGTTCCTTCACAATGTCTGTAGGAGCAGAATTTCAGGACGGTGTGGCAGGCACCTAACCCTTTCAGGTGAACTCCTTAAGGGGACCCTTCAGCCCTCTGTTCTTCCATCCTTCATGCTCACCCTGAATAACCTCCTTTGCCTGGTACTTCAGTCAGCATAGCTGGGGCTTCCAAATCCTCATCCCCAGCCTTTCAGAGCCCATTGCTCACTGCCTCCCAAGCATCTTCTCTTGCAGACTATAAATGTCTGAAACAGACCAAGTTCTCCACTGAAGTCATCTCCCCTGCCAGCTACTCGCCCTGACAACCAGTTTGCTCCATTCTCCTGTTTCCAGTTCAGTCCATGATTACATTGGCATCTGGTGACCCAAGCCAGGACCTCGTCACCTTGGTTCCTCCCCACACCCACATTCACTGTCAGTCATTCTGCTCTAGTATGTCTGGTGCTCTAACAACTCCTGAATCTGCTCACGTGTCTCCATTCCTTGCTCTGAAGCTTACCACTGCCTAGCCCGTCTCTGCTCTGTCTTGTGTAACTCACTCTCCATGTGGTGGCCAGAGTGATCTGCAGTGTGACTCTGATTAGGCACTCTCATGTTAGTCTTGGGATAGCACTATCTCCTGGGCACACTGCATGCAGCAACCTTGTATCTTGCCAGTCTTAGGCCTCCGTTCTTTCTCAAGCATCTTTAACCGTCTGTAACCACTGGCTATACGGTTAATCATGTTCCCTTTACCTCTGGCTCTTTTTCTGCTCTCTGCTCCCGGCCCTGCTCTTCACAGGCTACCTCTTTAAGGACGTGGTCCTTGATGTCTCATCACTGTGGTTGGAGCTCTTGGATAAGCTCATGCACCACCCAAGGACACTGATTCTCCCACCTAAACACTGACTTCACTGCATGGCTACTGCCTGTATATTTGTGGCCTTTTGTTTCTGATGCCAAGGAAATGTACTGTGCTAGCCCAGAGCTTCTGCAGTGGTTTGAATAAGAATGTCCCCCATAAGCCAGGCGGTGGTGGCACACACCTTTAATCCCAGCACTCGGGAGGCAGAGGCAGGCGGATCTCTGTGAGTTCGAGGCCGGGCTGGACGGATAGCCTCCAAAACAATACGGAGAAACCCTGTCTCGTAAAAAACAAAAGAAAAAAGAAAAAAAAAAAAAAAAGAATGTCCCCCATAAGTTCATATTTGAATGGTTAGTCACTAGGGGGTGGGAGGAATTCCTTGATAGGATTTAAAGGATTGGGGGGGTGTGTGGCCTTGTTGGAGGAAGCATGTTGCTTGGGGTTGGGCTTTGAGGTTTCAAAAGCCCACCCCAGGCCCAGCCACTTTTTCTGCCTGTGGATCAGGATGTATCTCTCAACTCTCAGGCACTATACCTGCCCGCCCACCACCATGATCCTCACCATGTTTACCAAATGACTAGAAACAGAAAGCAGTTTATTCAGAAGGACTGGCCCACAGTCAATATGTTAATTCCCCAAAGGTAAACAGATTCATAGGAAATAGCAACCAGAGACACAGGGAGGATTCTGGGAGAGAAAAGAGACACACCAATGTTTTGGAAAGAGTTTAAATGTGTTTTGGGGACACTCACCATAGGAGAAGGTGTCTGGCATGGGGACACCATGCCCAGCCAGCTCCTGGAATGTCCAAAATTTGTTGATACAGTTTAGGATGCTTTGAGGACGGTTGATCAATCGGCAGCCCAGCTTCTCCAGGTGCCTCAGGATGGTGATTTCACTATCTGACTGGACGGAGGGAGTGGATAGCCGTACAACCACCACATCGGGGAATGTGGTCAGGGGTTTCTGGCTCAGCTGCAGGCCTGCAAGTAAGGGCTAGAGTGAGCTCAACTCTTGCCAGTGCTTTGTCAACTGGAAGTGCTTTCAGCGTTCGTCTGGCCAGAAGAGAGCCTCAAAACAGCCGCATGGGCATCCTGGTGTAGGCTGGTGTATGCAGTGAGAAGGCAGAAGACGGCACCATCCTCCAACAAATGGGCAGAGCGTGCTTATGATACAAGGAATGAGCAGAGAGAAAGAGAATGCAGTGCACCAAGAATGATGTCTGTTAAAAAGTCCCCAGCACAGCTGTGGTCAGACCTTTCTTCCCTTGGGGCTAGGACTGCTCTATGACCAGTGGCTTGGGAGGCTCATGGCTTCAAACAAAGGCATCAATGCTGCCCATTTCTGGAAACCCTACACTCTTCAGTGACTGAACCTCAGGAAAATCTACTGGCTGGAACACTATGCAACCACTTCCATACCATCTTTAAAGTACATAAATCAGGATCTTATGATGTATCCCAGACTAGATCAAACTCAAGATCCTTCTGCCTCAGGGGCTTAAGACTCCAGGCCCATGCTATACCACACCCAGCTAAATAATCTTTATCAACACAGTTATATTTCATATTCGCAATGCCAATGTTAGATGGAGAAACAGAACTCTAGCGGTGCTATGTAAAGTGCTTTGCTAACATGTGCAAGGCCTAGATTCAATCCCTAGCTCAGTCAAAACTCATTTGACAGAGGGAAAAAAAATCCTAACACTGTCACCCCTATCCTCCCACCCTTGCCAAATAATTAATTCATTATGTTCTCTTTATCCTCCTGCCTTCAGCCTCCTGAGGCTGAAGATTCAAAACACCTAATCCATTATGTTCTCAGTTATGTAAATAGATAAGGGTTGAAAACATAGAAAAGAGCCGGGTGTTGGTGGCGCACGCCTTTAATCCCAGCACTCAGAAGGCAGAGGCAGGCGGATCTCCGTGAGTTTGAGACCAGCCTGGTCTACAGAGTGAGTGCTAGGACAACCTCCAAAGCCACAGAGAAACCCTGTCTCGGAAAAGAGGGGAGGTGGCAACACATTTTCACAGTGAGAATAGGGCTACAAGTAATTCCTTTTTTTCTTCTTTTTCTTGAGCCAGGGGCTTGCTATGTAGCCCTGGCTAGCCTGGCACTCACTATGTAGCCCATGTGACTGTGCGTCACAGCAACACTCCTGCCTCAGTGCCCCAAGTGACAGGATTATAGACATGAGCTCCAATGACCAGCTCTTCTTTGTATTTTCCCTTTATCTGAATTTTTCAGAATGCTTTCTCCAGGTGTACAGTATCTTTGTAACGAAACCAAAGTAAAAAATGTCTATGAAAAGATCAATTCAATACTTAACACATATTGAGCTAAATAGTCATTAAATGGTATTTATTGAAAGATACTGTGACAAACACAGGTAAGAAGATCTGAGGCTGTCTGCCTTACTCTGGACTAATCAAGGGCTCAACTTGATGTAAAGATTCATGAGGACCTAAGCACCTACAAGTTACTGAAGGACTTCTGCACAGAATTCTCTGGCTTGCCTCGCATGGCACCAAGGGGTTGAGCTAGCCATGAAATGATTTTTGCCTGTGTGTTTTTGTGCTGACTCCAGTCCCTGGAATAGCGCCTGGTGCTTAGCAGGCACTTGATACTTGTTGAGCTGAACAGACGTGGCAGGAAGACAGATCCAGGCTTCACTAAGTTCAGAAACTCTTGCACCCCTTTAGAATGGAGTGGGCACTCAGAGGTGGAACACAGTGAATGCGAGTAGAGGCTTGGTGTCTCTCAACCCTGACAGCCCAGGGCTTTTCTGACTCAGTGAGTGCACCCAGCACCTGGGATGGAGTGAGGGAGGCAGAACATGGAATGTGTGAGGCCATGAGAATTGAGTTTCAGAACTTCCTGGGTCTTGAAAGGTTCAGGCATTACGATGGCCTGCCCTGTTACCTGGCAGAATGCACTCAGGCAGTGCTCTAGCCAGCCCAGAGTTCCATGAGAACCAGTCTGCACTCAGGTGCAAAGGACCCCTTTAAAGGACAGATCCCTACCCACTTTCTCTTACTGTCCTCATTCTCATCTTCTCTACTCTCTCTCTCTCTCTCTCTCTCTCTCTCTCTCTCTCTCTCTCTCTCTCTCTCTCTCTCTCTCTCTCTCTCAGCTCCACACGGGTTGGTTACCTCTCATCCCCCTTCCTTTCCTGTCTACCAATAAACTCCATGTGGGACCGTTGACTCATGGTTCCTATCTCATTACTGGGTAAACTTAGACATTTTAACAACAGTCTCCCAAGTACTCTAAAGAAAACATTTAAATTACAATGTACAGACCCACCTTGCAGGCTTTAACTTAGCACACCTTTTATTGCTCCAAAAACCAAAAAGTACAAATGAAGTCACAATTTCTCCATCAAGGGCTGAGGTGTGGGGTGTTGCTCAGTGGTACAGTGCTTGCTACCTCGTCTGAGGACCTGCGTTCACAGTTCTCCTAAGCTGGTGCAGTGCCGCACACCGGGGTCAGAGCTATTTCCTAAACTGGGCATGGTGGCACATAGCCACACCTCAGCCCTCAGGATGCTGAGGCAGGAGGATAAAGAGTTCAAAGACTGCTTGGGCTACATGGCAATGACAAAAGTGACTATATCAATATCGAAGTTCTACACCGAGAAAGAAGAAGAATCTCTATAACAAAAACCAAGCAAACAAAAAGCAGGCCATTCACAAAATGAGCTGTGTGGATGTAACTTACAAGTCGGCCATTCCAGGAGAGGTTTCTCTGATCCTCCTTAAGGTGTGGATGGAGAGGGCCAGGTTTTAAGTCCATTTTTTCTTAGCCCTCCTGCTGATGCCGTGAGCCCAGCAGATAGAACTGTCTCGGGGCTAGTCTATAAAAAGCAGCTTCATTTGGGCACCGGAAACAGGATTGTTTAAAGCTGCCTTTCCTGCCTTTTGAAAAATCCCCTCTCCCCTTAGCCCTCGGAACAAGTAGTTAGAAAGTGGAGACAAGGCAAAATTGGAAGAAAAAGAAAGGTATCCACATTGACCAAAATGGTGAGCAAATACAGAATGTCCAACACATCATTATGCCATGAGAGATGGTTTGAAAACCAACAAAATGCTATGCACACAAGGCACTGTCATGACACAGACATTCCAATCAGCAAGGCAGAACAACTTTTTTCGTCACTCAATGAGAAAACAGCTTGGCAACAGAAAAGCAACCTAGAGAAGCCAGAAGCAAGGGGAACAACCAGCTTTAAATCCCAGCTCGAGCCCACAGACAGACAGACTTCTACACAGGAAGAAAAGGATTCAGTCCATTTCTGGACTGACCAACCACAGTGCACAGAGAGAGCTCAGCCTCTATAAGCAGCAGTACAGACACCTAGGAAGTCTTACCAGGACTTCATCTCTCTTCTCCAAAGGTAAATCTTTGGGCCTGGCTCATTCCCACTGAAGCCTTTAATAAATGAAGAATGCAATGGGTTAAAGTGGAACCCAAACAGCTCTGCCAGGCATGAAGACAGGTCTGACGTCTGCCTATGCTGCTGCCTAGCCCTGTGCAGAGGGACATGTTGGGTTTGGGGTTACACCAGCTCCATGGATCCACAGGTTTCATATCAATAGATCCAGCCAACTGCAAATAGAAAGCACTAGAAAAACTTAATTTGTAGCCACACTGAAAATGTTAAGATTTTTTTCTTGACATTATTACTTAAACAATGTGAATATTGTATAGCAACTACTTGCAGGGTTGGGGGTATAGTTCAGTGGTAGATAACTCACCAATTATACAAGAGGCCCTGGGTTCAAATCCCTCCCACCTTAAAAAAATATACAAAGAATCCACAATTATTTACATAATATGCAAATATTATGTGCAGGTGACTTGCAAAAGTTATGTAGGGGCCTAGAGCATCCTTGGATTTTGGTAAGGTATGGAAGGGTCTAGAACCTGCAAATACTAAGGCATAAGCATCTTTGACCTCTGACATTTCTGACACTCTTGCTCTGGGCCATCCCAAAGGCCCTTCCTTGCTCAGTCTCTTCACCTCGGCCATCATCACACTGCAGCAAGGTGACCTTGGGCAGAGAAAACTGCTTCTCACTCTGGCTTCAGTAACTGCAGCAGCCACATGTGGCTAAGAATAATTTGCATTTCAGGCTGGCTCCTTGGCAAACCTGCTTGCCAAGTCTGAGACCTTTAGCCACACTGGAATTTCCACTATTATTATCGACTCCCAGGTAGGCACCTGCTGAACCCATTGCAGGGATACAGCTTACTGAACATGCCACCTTTTCCAGGATCCTTAAAATCCTCACTGTGTTCTCCAGGCCTCAAGGGAATGGAGAACCTGTGTGGACTGGATGAATGGGCTCTGCTTGGCTGTGGTGAACTGAAGAAGAAAGCTTCCCTGGCCCTGAGATAACCAGGGACTTGACATGACTAAGTATCACCTTAAGCCAGGGAGATGGAGAAGGATGCAAGCTGATTCTCAGCTCCTGCATCCCCCCTCCCATACACACATCTGGCTGGCCTTGAGATTTTACTGTTTAGCCTCAAAACACAAAGAAAGAAAGAAAGAAAGAAAGAAAGAAAGAAAGAAAGAAAGAAAGAAAGAAAGAAAGGAAGGAAAAGAAAAAAAAAGCAGGAAGTGACTACCCCACTCTGTCCTCAGAGAAGTCACTAAGACAGAGGGGGAAAGATTAGAAGTCAAACTGGTTGGTGCAATGACCTGGCTAGGATTCATCAACTTTATGAAACGGAAACACTGTTTTCTCCATAGTCTACATTCACCGGTAACTATAGCCCAACTTCCTCTTGAATTATGTTTTCATTGGGAAATATTTTAATGTCTTTAAGTAGTAATGCTATGAGCAGGGCAGTGGTGGCACATGCCTTTCATCCCAGCACTCGGGAGGCAGAGGCAGGCGGATTGCTGTGAGTTTGAGGCCAGGCTGGACCGACAGCCTCCAAAACAATACAGAGAAACCCTGTCTCGTAAAAACCA